ACTTACTCAGGAAAATCTCTCACTAATTAAAAGCTGCATTAAATCACTTTTGCACATTTAAAGGGACAGTCCGCCAATAAACTAAATGTACTCACCATTTTATTACTCTTAAAGAAGTTCCAAACTTTATTGTATGAATGTTGGAAACCAATAGCTATTGGCATCTATAATAGGAAAAAATATTAAGGACCTTATCCTACACCTAGCACTATGTGGCACCATGCTTGATGCAAGTGTATTTAGCTAGTTTCAGACTGTATTATTTTCATATTTTACACCACATTGTATAAATAGCAAATGTATTTGTGCACGTGCTCATGTGTGTGATGTTCTGAAAAGGAGGTGTGTTAAAGGTCCTGTGAAATTAAAATAAAGTTTTAGATTTTTGTATGAGTATGTTAGATTTAAGGATATCTATAAGCTAGTGTGCTCCAAAACAGTGAATGAATTCATGTTTAGAAGATACAAACCTGATATAAACATCCAGAGCCTGCAGTTGGTCTCTTCCACCTAAATGGATCAACGATTTTTTTTACGTCACCTCATACTTAAGTTTCTCATTAAATCTTGACCAATGAAATGCTCTCTAGTATCTGACATGCCCCGCCCCCTTCTCGTTTGGTTTTCATTTGATGCACTTGAGCTCAACCACTTGCACTGTGGCTATTGGCTGTTTTTTTGTTGTTGGTTTTTTAAGGGGAGGAGCTACTCTATGTCCTGTTTTCTCTTTATGTTTAAGGGTGCTTTCACACCTAGACTTTTGTTTCAGAACGTGGTGCGCTTCCCCAGTTAGCTCGGTTCGTTTGGCATATTTAAATCCAGCAATCGCGCTCGGATCCGCACCAAAACAATCTGTCCGAGATTGCCTGTACGAGGTCGTCTCGGCTCGATTGGAACAAACTCTGGAGTAGACATGAGCCGGTTTAAGATTCTTGGATAAAACCTTGGATAAAAATATAACTGTTTCACGGTATTGTGATTACTGCTGTAAAATATAATCTTGTAAAAAATTTCTGAGTAAAAAACAAACTTATTTCCCCCTTTGAACACAATATATTTTATTTTGAGAAACATTTAAAATATTTTGTAACCGTAAACATCCCAGCCGGCACAAGACATCAACATGGTGTCAGATTGACGTTGTACCCCAATTGGGGATGTTGCATTTTGTTTGGAATTGATAATCGGGTTGATGTCAGAACAACCCAACCTAAAATCAACCAAATATTAACGTCTAAGGAGGTTACAGCTTGACGATGTGTGGACGTTACCACTATGATGTCTGTCAGAAGTGGGATTTTGGTCACTTTCTAACACAACTTAAAATCAATGTCGTTATTGGACGTCAAATTAATGTTGTCCTTAGACGCTGGCTAGACATTAAATTTTGGTCACCTGACGTCACGACTTACATCCAACCTAATATTAACGTCTTATGACGTTGTGTGCCTGCTGGGATGTCAGAATAAATAATTCAAATAAATCACTGAATCAATCCGCTTGTTAAGTGTGACGTCACGCGAAGCAGCTTCCGGGTCCAAGCGCTCTTTTCAACTGAATGGGGAGACTCATGAAATGGTAATAATAAACATTTACAAAGCGATTAAATACTTTCGAAAATCACGATCGCAATATATATGTCCATGCCTAATATCCGATGGCCAAAAAGTGATTATTTTTTTATAAATTGTTAATTTTTTGGTATTTGTTATGCAGCAAGCCCACAGATTGTAGTGTACACTAGGATTATATATAAAATTAACTTTAATGTGTGATAGGAATAAAACGTGATCATAAACGAATGATTTCTCCACTCAAATGAATGGCGGCTTGGACCCGGAAACAGTATTGCATACGTCACCACTTAACAAGCGGATAATTCTGTTGTTTTCATTTGTTTTAATAACACAGATTTCTGTACAATTTATTACAGAATCTTTAGAGATCTTTTCTGCTGGAAATACTGTTGTCCTAAAAACAACAAAAAACATAAAAAAAAAAAAATCTTACACACACCTTATAGTATAGCAAACGAAATTGGCGGTTTTAAAACCTTGCCTTTTCCAAACTGCAGTATACCTTGAAAATAGTCATCGTCCCATATCTACTCTGTAGCGGATCGATTGTAGTGAGAAAGCAATACGATCCGAACCAGGCTATATCACAGTGTATTATGGAAATGTAATAGGCATATATACGCCTCTATAAAGAGGGAATTATGAGTAGGGCGGGATGTCATTCCTACCGGCAAATGCGTTTTATGTAAAATACGAAAGTGAAAGCATGCTGAAATATTAACGAGAGCTGTTTATCTATTAGGAAAATTGACCGAACAGCAGTCTTGGTTCAACTGTTATTTCTCTCTATAATGTAGAGCATTTAATACTGCTATGTATAAGAAAGTCTTGCGTCTGATTTTGATTTGGCGATGATGTCTGTGGGTGTCACAATTCAAAATAAAGTGCAGCTTTTTGCTTATAATGTCTTATATGTCTCATCGTCATAAATTAAAATAAGGACGCATGACAGCTGAGTGAAACTCTGCAAAATAAACCCTGAAACTCTGAAAAATGTGAGAAGAGTTTACTCCTACCTGACTTGTTTTAGCTCTTTTGGTCCATTTAGAAAGTTTGCCGTATGAAAGCAAACCGCAATAAGAACAAGGAGCAACACTGTAACCATTTTAATCCCTGTTTTGGAACTAAATAATTAATCCATAGGTGTGAAAGCACCCTCAGTTGAGATAACGTCAAACATCTAATAAACAAAATGCACATTTGAATGCACTTAATGGGACCATTAATTGACCTAGTAAAAGCTGGTCTTAGGTCGATGGGGCAAGTTTTTGTTCATTATTTAATGAGCGCAGTGATATATGCCTTTGCGGATCCAAAACATGTGTTAATATTAAATCATGATTAATAATACTCATACTATGCTATCCAAACTGTGCCCAGACCTGTTTCCCGGATCGTTTGAGAAGTGTGAGTGCGCTGAATTGGGCTCAGGCACGGTTGGGGTGTGCCAGAGCACGGTTCACTTAGGTTTTGGCGCGGTAAGCTTTATAGTGTGAGTGCAAGCGTGCCTGAAGCCGAAACTGAAGATGAGATGTGACTTTTTAGGGACTGTTTTATATAGATTTATTAATCATTCTTGCTGTTTAATGAACGCAAACTGTAGTAGTTTATTGAAAACGCAAACCCCTCACTGCACGACAGCTGCACCTTCAGCAAACTTCCTAATTCCTGCAGCACGAGGACTTTCATGGTTGTTTATGTGCGTCAAAAGTGGCTGATCACCATGAATGTTATTTTTTTAACATAAATGACATAACTTTTAATGTAGGGCTGGGCGATAAAATCGGCATCGATGATTATGACTGAACACTATTGTTAATATCCCTAAAAAAGATTCAGTATGTAGTTTCAGTATGAAGGCTATAGTTTTATTAAAATGTGGCTGCTGACTGCGCACCCCGGAAGCAATGCCAATAAGCTTAAAGTGTATATATAAGGTGACCTGTATAAGAATTGGAGAATGGTGGAGTTTGTCATTTGAGTTCATTACCAATTAGACACATCACTTATATCCTTGCTGCTGTGTTCGCCCATGTTTAAAATCTCCAGATTACCGGCAGAGTTAATGGTTTGATCAGACAGGGCAAGAGACATGCTGCACCTCTATCCACTGTGTCTGCATTCAGGAGTAGATAAAGCCTTCTCATTCATAGTGTTTATATTAACATAATTATCTTTATGATGATAAAACAAATTTTGATTATATGTATATGAAATTAAAATTTAAATAATTTATTTGTTTGCATTTTAACTTTGTAAACCATAAAATGATGGGTCTCATGGTTTTTCTCTCATTTTGTGAGCCAATTAACAACAGTTGCTCCCGTCTTTTTCCCCTGTTCTGCTGACCACGCTTACTCCTCCCTCTGCTCGCAGCGCTCCACGCCCATGTTGGAGCATTTTTTGAAAAATGTCAGAGAATTATTTGAGTTAAGGTAACTTAAACTATTTGAGGAAACCGATTGCAACAAACCATTTAAGTTCAAAAACTAATCCTAATGAGTTCTGTGAACTTAATTCTTTTGAATAAACCAAGCAATCTGAGCACAGCATAACACAATAAATGAAAAGAACTCAAACCAACCGTGTACTATAAAACCCAATAAGTTGAGGCAACTCAAACCTTTTGAGGAAACTGATTGCTACAAACCATTTGAGTTAAAAAAAAAATGAATCTATTTGAGTACTGTGAACTTAACTGTGAAGTAATTAGGTACTTAATTAACTCACCTTCAACACTGAGTTCAAAACTCTTTTCAAATGAGTAGAATTACCTTTCAGCAAATTTAGAGTTAACTACACTCATTTCATTTGATAAAGTTGACTGTTGGGTTTTACAGTGTACATTGTAGAGGGGTTTTTATGGCCCTTTAAATAAACCATTTCAGACACCGAGAGGAAATGCTGCGGTGTAGATTATAAGTATACTAAAGTGTATTTTTGACATTTGAATTCATGTAAGACTTTTGTAGCAGACCTCCAAAACTAAGCAAGCAATTACAGAATAGCAAAACATGGCAAAACTGGTCTTGCAAACTTTACAGATAAATCAGAAACCACTGAAACAACCATGCATGTAATTTGTTGGACTCCTATTCATGTTTAAACCCAACATGGGCCCATTTAAACACATCTTTAGAGATAACCTGTCATTTGTAGAGATAACTTGTGTTCTGTGCAGCTGATCTCGGCATGTAAACCACATTCCTCACTTTAAAGTTACAGCTTCAGGTCTCAAGCAAAGGGGGTCATTAGACATGTAGTTTAAAGCATGGGATGTTTAGTCGGGGCAGGAATGCTTCATCATAAGCCTTGTAAATCAAAGCAGACTTTCTCCTCTTCAGCCTGAGAATGTAGTTTCTCTATAGTAATACACCAAAGCACTGAAACTCATGTTAATTCTGTCTTATTTATTCTTAACAGGGGTGAAAGTCTATCGAGATGTTCTCAGTGTAAGACGGCGCGCTACTGCAGCGTTCAGTGTCAGGTAAGAGCTCTTAACACATGGCCAAATCAGAGAGCTTTACAAACAAGTTTATAATAATATAATTAATAAAACAATTAACACAATAGAGTTTTATTTGATTTTAAATTAATTTAACTTTTTGTTTATTTTATCGGTAAAATTAGACTATATTTCATTTAAAGAGTAGATTTATAATTTAAGTAATAGAATTTTATTTTAATTCCACCAATTATTTTAAGTCTGGGAAGTCTGGAGTTCTTTCCTAAGACTGCTGCCCCCATGACCCGGCCCCAGATAAGCGAATTAAAATGAAATGACATGACATGTTTTTAATTGATTTGATTTGATTTTTTACTTTTATTTGTTTATTTTATAAGTGGACTTTCAGCAGTGAAATTTAAACTATACTGAACTGAACTGAATTCAACTTCAACTCTAAAAACTGGACAGTTTCAGTTTACTAGAACTTCATTGTACAATACACAACTGAATTAAATTGAATAAGTGAAATTAGATTTTATTCAAATGGTAGACTTTTAACTAAATTACAAGAATTCTATTGTAATTCCACCTATTTCTTGACCAATGCAAATGAAATGATTTCTATCTATTATAGAACACATTTTCTTTTCTTTTCTTTTCTTTTCTTTTCTTTTCTTTTCTTTTCTTTTCTTTTCTTTTCTTTTCTTTTATTTCTTTTCTTGTCTTGTCTTGTCTTGTCTTGTCTTGTCTTGTCTTTTCTTTTCTTTTCTTTTAATCTTTGCTTGCATGTTGCTTTTTTATGTAACTAATAACTACAATTTTTATCTTACATTTACATTTAGTCATTTAGCAGGCACTTTTATCCAAAGCGACTTACAAATGAGGACAAGGAAGCATCTTTTGTTGATTAAAATATAGTAATTCTAACAATTTAACAATTGATTTGACTTTTGGAAATCATCACGTGACCCCCTCTCACTGTTTTGTGACCCCCACTTTGTGAACCACTGGTTTACATCCCTAAAGGCTGATTTGTACTTTTCCATCAAGTGCCGCATATGCTAACGGCGCAGCCTACGCGTAGTCGCATAGCCCTCTCCGTGGCCGTCGGCGATGCTGACGCGCACCTCTCAAAAAATGTAACTACACGTCACATTGACGCGTAGCGCAAGCTCTGTGATTGGTCGGTTTGGTAGCTCTGACAAGTGTGGGCAGAGGTGAGCGAGTGTTTACAATGGCCCGTTTCCACTGAGTGGTATGGTAGGTTACGCTTTTATGGCCGTTTTCACTGTCAAAGCGAACCGTACCTTACCACTTTCTGAAGGCTACCAACAGGCCCAAAGGGTACCATAAGGCGGAGCTAGATGCACAGCTGAACGCTATTAGTTTACAGAGATACATCACTTGCAGAAGCAGAAAAATAAAAACAAAGGAAGCACCATTTTTAAAAACACAGGCATTACACCGTAATAATATACAGTATGCATATAATAACAAGCCATGGACGACCCGAGCTCAAACAAACCTTGCCATCTTGATGAACAGCAGCAAAGCCAAGAAGAACAAAATTTGCTGTGTCTTGTTGTTGTTTTACGAGCCCGTCTAAAGCGCAAGCGGTTTCACTTTCTCCAGAGAGCTCGCCGCACATCTATATTTTAAATGACAAACTTTTTGAGCTCATATTAATAATGTGCTTGCGATCACTGAAGAGCTCTGATATCTGTTTCTTTCAGAAAAAGACAAACGTGAGAGTGAAGCATGAAAAAACAAGAGAAGCCAGAAAAAACAGCAGCAAATGATGCTTCTGCAACCTTAAACATGAACAAACATCAATGTTTACATCACCTTTTGGCTTTACTGTGACATTTCCTCGAGTAAAAATGACATTGTCTGAAACTTTCTGTCGTACACCATGCCCACCAAAAGGGTACTTTTCTGGCAGTGGAAACGCAAGCTTGATAAAGGTGACCTGTACAGACCTGTACCGTACTGTACCGCTCAGTGGAAATGGGCCACAAGTGTGGAGTCCAGTGAAGGAGCTCCGGATGGAGACTGTTGTTTTGTGTTTACCTTATGATTAAATCTCTTGCACGTCCGCCGATTCCCACCTCGAAATGTGTGAGTTTGAGCCTCTTGTACATTAGCGTTCAGAAAAAAACAAAACACCAGTGAAGAAACTCGACACAGAGGAACACAAACATCTATTGCCAGCTAGCGTTTCTGAAGTGTTATTGCAGAGCAACACACAGTGCGCAGAAGTATAAATGCACAACTATGCGCATTGTATGCACCGTGGGTCACGCCGATGCAGAACTATAAACCAGTCTACTAACTACTGCTAACTATAAGCAGCAAATTAATAATTTATTGAGCTAAAAGTCTTTATGTTGGCATGACTGGAACACTACTGACCAATCAGCATCCAGGACTGAGTTTATATGTTTTTTATGAAAACATATACCTGTAAAAAAAATATATATATATATATTTTCACATTAATAGTTTAATACTTGGAGTTTTGATTTGTTATTTTTATAAACAATGTTTATGTTATTTTTACATTAAGAGTTTGTATCTTGAAGTTTTGATTTGTTTTTCAGATTTTTAAGTTTAGGTATCAAATGTCTAACTTTTGTATATAAACTATAAATAAGCAGCAAATTAATAATTTGAGCTAAAAGTCTTTGTAAGCAGTGCTTTAAACAGTCAAAAGACAACCGTGCTGGCTTGCATGAAGAATAAATCATGAAATGAAATCTTTCCTCTTCAAGAACATCCAGTGTCTTTAATCTAAAATCATTGAAATCTCAACGCTGTCAATGTCAAACCAGCCCGCTTTTCTCCAGACACTCGTGGTTGTCGAGTTTGTCTTTGTCTTACTTTAATTGTCGACCAGCTTGTCATCATAATTCCCTCTAAAGGGAGACCACACGCAGTAACCTCCTTTCACAAGATCTGAGCTCTTCTTCCTATTTGTTGGTGAAGTCTTTCTTTATTCTGTGCTTTATTTCACCTTTCAGAAGCAAGCGTGGCCCGATCATAAGAGGGAATGTAAATGCCTGAAGCACCTCCAGCCGAGGATCCCCACCGACTCTGTTCGCCTGGTCGCGAGGATCATTTTCAAACTGGTATTTCAAAGCATGTTTTACATTGGAGACCATCTCAGCTGGTGTTTTGCCACAGGGCTTCGATGTTGTTTCACTCAGTCTGTGTGTTTCCACAGCTCAGCCAGTCTGAAAGTGACCAGGAGGAGCTGTACTCTATTGCTGAACACCAGTCACGTAAGTTCATGCTTGATTTGTGTTTGCTGTACCATAAACTTGAGGCAAATGGCTGAAGCTTTATGTTGGCATGACTGGAACACTGCTGACTAATCAGCATCCAGGACTGAGTGTATATGGTTTTTATAAAAAAAAACATACACCTGAAAAAAAAAAAAAAAAAAAGTTATTTTTACTTTGAGTTTGTATCTTGGAGTTTTGATTTGTTGTTCAGAATTTTAAGTTTAGGTATCAAATGTCTAACTTTTTTTCTACATTTGGCAAAACTGACTTTTCTCTTTACTCTCTCATAACTCAGATCTTAACCTCTCACACAATTTATATATATATATTTTTTTTTTAAAGTTTAGAATTACAAGTAAAGAAAAAAATATAGATGTGAAAAGTTCATTTGCAAAAACAGATAACCAACATTGGTAAAATTTATTTGGCAGTCGAGTTCCACAAATTTCCATATGTTGAAATAGAGTTATTGGTTTTTGCAAATAAACTCTTACATACTTACACATTGTGTTGCGTTGTGTTACATTGCTTACATATGTTAGTTACATTGCGTTATGTTATTTTAAGTTGCGTTACGTTACGTTGCGTTGCATTGCAGTACATTGCATTACGTTGTTGCGTTACATTACGTTACGTTTTTGTTTTGTTGTGTTGTTACATTGCTTTACGCTGTTACATTGCATTGTGTTTTGTTGTTACAATGTGTTGCATTGCATTGCGTTACATTGTGTTACGTTACATTACGTTGTGTTACATTGTTATGTTGCACTTTTTTATAATACATTGTGTTCATTTGTGTTACGTTGTGTTGCATTGCGTTGCGTTACGTTACATTGCATTACATTTCATTGCATTACTTTGCATTTTGTTGCGTTATATTGTTACATTGCTTTGTGTTGTTATATTTTGTTACTTTGTGTTACATTGCATTACGTTGCGATACATTACATTATGTTGCGTTACATTGTGTTACATTGTTTTGTGTTATGTTACATTGTGTTACTTTGCATTGGGTTGCGTTACATTACATTATGTTGTGTTACATTGTGTTACATTGCTTTGCATTTTGTTACATTTGTTACTTTGTGTCACGTTGCATTATGTTGCATTACATTACGTTATATTTCTTTACGGTTTTGTTACATTGCGTTATGTTATTACGTTGTTATGTTGTGTTACGTTACGTTTTGCTACGTTACGTTGTGTTACGTTACGTTTTGCTACGTTACGTTGTGTTACGTTACGTTTTGTTACGTTACGTTTTGTTACGTTACTTTGTGTTGCATTATTTTGTGTTACATTAAATTGTGCTACGTTGCTTTGTGGTACATTACATTGTGTAACATTACATTGTGTTGCCTTGTTACAATGTGTTACGTTTTGTTTCGTTACTTTGTGTTGCATTATGTTGTGTTGCGTTACATTGTGTTACGTTGCTTTGTGGTACATTACATTGCATTATGTTACATTGCGTTATGTTTTGTTACATTGTGTTATGTTACATTGCGTTACGTTGTGTTACATAAAATTTCATTGCATTGTTAAATTGTGTTATGTTGGAATGCGTTGCATTACATTGCGTTACATTGTGTTACGTTACATTGCATTACGTTTTTGTCATATTCTGAGCTATTGTTTGTTTTCTCCACATGTTGCTGTTTTCCCCAGTGTTTCTGTTTGGGGTTCATTTGTGTTAAGTCTGTTTAGCTGTGTCTTGTTAGACTACCCTATTTATTGTTTTTGAGTTTGATGTGGTCTTGCTGTTGCCGTAAGTCTTCTGGTCATTACCTTTCATCCATTGTGTTTGTGGCTAAAGTACCCTTTGCTCTATGGAAAACTTTATATTTGTTAACTGCTTAGCTTGTAGACTTCCTATGTTTCTGCCTGGCTGCTTTTTTTAACTAAACCTTGTGCTTTGGCAACTGGGTTCACCAGCTCTCCCTGTGGCTAAATTCATTCATTTAGACAATGAATGCAATATATTGTAAAACAATACTGTATTGTATAATAGATAATAATTAAAAACTGTGTTATGCTATGTAACGCTAAGCTAGGCTAGTTCAGTCAAGTTCAGTTTAGTTACATTACATTATCTAGCAAAAAAATAATAATAATTAGACAATGAAAGCAATAAATTGTGCAACAATACTGAATTGTATAATAAATAAAAGTTATTCTAAGCAAAGCTAGGCAAGGCTAAGTTAAGTTAAGGTAAGTTGCATCACCTAGCAAAAACAATTTATTTAGACAACGAATGCAATGAATTTTGAAAGAATAGTGTATTGTATAATCGAAAATAATTAAAAACTAACAAGCAAACAAAAACAATATTCAAAGAAATCTAAAATTAATCTCCCTGCTGAGAATAAAAGAATGTGTGGGCTTGTAAATGCTTTAAATGTAGTCTTGCTTGTGTCTGGTCAGGCTAGTTTTAGAGAGGATTTCGGTGTTTTTCTGCTGGTCAGAGTGGGAGAAACCTGATCAAAAAAACAAAACTACACCTACAGACTACAAAATATCTTCTTGCCCAGTCTAAGAGTCCAGATAAAACCATTTAGACCCGCTAAAGCCAGAAAAATAATTTATAGCATATACATATCAGGTTATAGGTTTGTAATAAGGTTTTGTATTAACCTTAATAGGCTCTCAATGCAATACAACAGTGTTTAGGCCTTGCTTCTTCTTCTTTAAAAAACGATTTGTTGAAATTTAATAATAGAAAATCTAGAAAATCTGTATTATTGCTCATATTGAGTCATAATTTCAAGATTCCTTGCTAAATTCATAGTTAACTCCAAGAAAATGACAAAAACAGAAGTTAATGCAAAACATTAATGTGGAAAATGTAGATTTTTGCTGATATTTTCCAAAATTCTTGCTTTTGAAGTTTATAGCATTTGATGTTGACTATTTAACATCGCAGAAAAGTACAGAAGCACACAAAATCTTCATTTTTGTACCAAATGTGTGACTTCTTGTCCTTCCTAAAAAGTTCTATAGAGAATAAAAGCTTGTTGTTAATGAGCGACAGTAAAAAGCAGTCTGATCTATCCTGCGAGTTTGAAAGATTAGATTTCCTGTGACGGAAGGTGAATAAATGTCAGATCCTGGCAGGAGTTTATTGTAACGTTATGAATTTTCCTCTCTGTCTCGGTGCGAACCCTCTGTGAAACCCACCCCTCGGCCTGCGGCTTTTCACAAGTAATTGGCTATTTTGTCACAAAGAGCCTCGGACTTCTCTTTGGCCTGACTCTTTCCTATTCAGTCATAAGTAATGTGCAGCCATTAGAGAGCTAATCCTGCTGATGGTCCTTATGGAAGCAGTCTGAACCTGTGCTTTCTCATCTCATAACACCCCTTGCTCTCACCTCAAAATGAGCCTCTCAACGGCTCATGCATTATTTCAGGAGATCCATCAGCTCCTCGTTTTTTGCAGCTGTGCTGATTTATGATGATGTTCATATGTGGAGCGTTTTTTTTTTTTTTTTTATATCCAGAAGAACATTTCACACTCAATCTCTTTTCGTCATGCGCCTTGGTGTGTTTTGGTCATCGGCTATAGATATTTCTGTGGCTGACAGTCATCTTTAATTTGGTTATACTTATAGAAGGAATATTCTGCATAATAAAGGGATTTTTTGTTCTAACCAACACCACACATTTATATTGATATACTGACATATTCAGTTGAAGTCAGAATTATTAGGCCCCCTTTGAATTTTGTTCTTTTTTAAATATTTACCAAATGATGTTCAACAGAGCATGGGAAGTTTCACATTATGTCTGATAATATTTTTTCTTCTGGAGGAAGTCTTATTTGTTTTATTTTGGCTAGAATAAACTTTTTAAATTTTTTAAACACCATTTTAAGATCAAAATTATTAGCCCCTTTAGGCTATTTTTTTCGATAGTCTACAGAACAAACCATCGTTATACAATAACCTGCCAAGTTAACCTAACTACCCTAGTTAAGCCTTTAAATGTCACTTTAAACTGTATAGAAGTGTCTTGAAAAATATCTAGTAAAATATTATGTCATCACAGCAAAGATAAAATAAATCAGCTGTTAGAAATGAGTTATTAAAACTATTATGTTTAGAAATGTGTTGAAAAAATCTTATATATTTAAATTTTATATAGACTCTTATCACGCTATAAAAAATATCACTGTTAATCTATTCTCAAAGTTGAGTTGGGAGCTGGGTCTATTCTACGCAAACTATGATGACTTTCACCTTAATGTTTTGGTGCGGATGTAAACCTCACCGGTGAGTCGTCTGACAAAAAATTGTTCTTCTGAATCAAATCTGCAGGATGCCCTTCTGGATCTTTCTTATTTCAAAGACACTACTGACTATGCTTACATTGACATCTGTAATCTAGTTATTTGCCTTATAATTAAGGTGTTTACATGAAGTGCTTTTATGTAAGAATTTGCTGTAGTTTTGGGTGACTTTAACTGCAGTTCGGCAGTTTCACTTTAACTCATGAACATTTCATTCATGCCGCCGTGACAAACTGGGGTATTAGACGCAAATAAGGAGAAAGGACTGGTGAGAGTGTTATGGAATTTAATAACACATGCACGCTAAATGGAATGAAATAAACTTCTGCTTTTCGTGATGCGTGTGTGTGTGTATGAGTGCGTGCATGCATGCGTGCGTTTACTGACAGCTGTATGGCGAAAAGTCCTACATGACGGTAATAGCTTGATTGCAGTGTTTACTTCAACAATGACACTAATATATTCATACTCCACTGTCCACTGTCTCTGTCTTAATTCCATTTCTCTTTAGTTCAGTTATGACTTCAGTCGAATTAAGGTCATCAAAAATTGCTGTTTGGAGCTCATGCAGGCCTACAGTTCAAAATTCATGTTTAACTGAATAAACAGTGAGTAAACACAAGTACATCTTATTGAACATAATTTATTTTCATCACCAATTATCACAGTAGAACAGTTTCTCAAGCAGTTTGTGATGCATTTGGAAAACAGA